AGATGAAAATACTGTAATACAATTGCTTTGTTACAGATGGAGCTAGGTGCAGGTAAGATCGATTAAAACTGATGAGGATGAGGAGAGAGGAAGAGGAAGGAGGAGTATCCTCTGAAAACTAAGAATGATCTGGTTTACTTGAAGTAGAATTCTTTTGCTGTAGTCTATTCTTTTTAAGCAATTTTATTATTTTGAGCCGCCCACGCCCCCTTTGAGGAGAAGAAGGGCCTCTACATTTGTAATAATAAATAAAATAATACATAAATGTGCAAACCTTTAGGCTAAGCCTCTTTGAAAGTAGTAGGGCCCAGGCACATGCACAGGATCCGGACTGATAAACAAGGGGGAAGTGCTTCCCCCCCCTCAAAATATTGGCGCCTCGGTTCTAACTAAGCCCCCGTGTTTCCAGGCGAATGTATTGGGACCGTGGTGTTTAATGTTTACATCTCCAACTTGCTTCAAGTTCTTCCCCACCGCGCCTCCGGGCACAGCCCCACTTCCCCTCGGATAGACATTTTTGCACGTCACAGGACACAATCCTCTGCCAAACGCTCTTGCGCAAACCCCACCGCCAGCGAGACGAAGGAGAGCCATGAGTCCCCAACACACTACAATGGGCCTTGCGCAGGAGAACTGTCCGGAGAATCGCGCCAGTTGTATCCCAAACGTAGTAGATATCAGAATATTTCGAGACGCAGCTTTTTGCGTTAAAAAAACAAAACAAAACACGCCCGAATTGACTTTCTGCATATTTTGCCTCTGCTTTCAGCTGCATTACTTCCCCTTTTTTCTAACGTCTCAGTCGCCTTATTTGTTTATATATTATATAAATAACACACACACACACTTTGGTTACTCTGAAATAAAACCACCCCTTTCGACTTATAAGAGAATGCGGTGTCATATGAAAAACGCTCCTTGTGTAAAGAGGAACTGTTTCTAAATCCAGTAAAAACATATTCGAATTTTACCATTAAAAAATGTGTCTGGCTTCCTTGATCCTAGTTTGCAAGGGGGGAAGTTGCATTGTTTTTCATATCCCTCCCCCCAAAAACCCAACCCTATAAAGATTTTGCACTTGTTTACTTAACCCTCACCCCAATTGCAGAGCGTTACAAGGTATTCAGAAAGGAAGAATGAAAACAACCGGGGCGGCGCGGGTGGGGGCAGGATTTTCGAAGGCAAACAGTTCCTTTGGCAACATCCATCCTCGTGGCTCCTCACCAGCGGGGCTGGACGTCACTGCATCTCTGGCATTGCGGCGTCGTGTGCGCGCGCGTGTGTATATGCACCCGAATAAAAGAGTGTCCCCACCTTGGAACACTCGTGTGCAATCAGATCTAACGCCTTTTTACTAGGAAGCGAACCTCACCGGGAGCAAAAGCACTTCCTTCACAGTAAACATGGCTAGGACCGGGCAGCTGGGTGCATGCTTTATTCTGATCTGTGTGACTAATTCCAAGTAAACCTGTTTAGGATTTGAAAGGGGGAGGGTAGAGATGTTTATATAAAGGCATATGTGACTATTTGGGGATACCAATACAGACACCTATTTGCGTGTGAATGCATAAATCCTGCATTCTACTTAAGCAGCAGTAGCATTTAGCTTTAAACTGGTGCAGGCTTTTCTCTCTAGAAATACAATTTTCGGTGGCATAAAATCCCACTGAAACTAAAGGTACTAACTATCGAAGAATTAGGTGGCTGGGCAGTCCCAATGAAACTACGCTTTTAACTGGGTTGTGGGTCTGACTGCCCCCTTGCAAATGAAGGCATGTGTTGCATTTCTGTACCTATTTTGACCCGTAGCCATGTAAGATACCAGCGCATAGAATGCCCGCGCCCACGCCTAGGCGTAACAGGCATATCAGCTGACCCATGTTCCATAATGTATAAGCCTGTTCGGAAACGGGCTTGCTGATTATCCATAGATGCCCTTGTATACTTGCATGGTTAGAAGTCAGCCCACTCAGTATCAGTCAGGTTGTGGGTTTGGGCGAGCCTATACACATTCACATACACCTTTATGCCCAAACTATTGATTTTCACTCAGTGTGTGCGCAAACCGTTGCGCATTGAATAGCTAGAAAGGGCAAAACCTGTAGTTTGCATCTACACCCGTCGGTAGCGCTCAAATAAATTGATAGTACCCACAATCAATTTCTTCCAAATATTTGTTTTTAAGCATAAATGCGTGCATGCACGTGTGTGTGATGTTGCCTCTTGAGAGCATGGGTGCCAACAGCACAGGCTCAGGTCAAGTGAATCGCCCCTACCCCCATCAAGAAAGAAACAGTTTCTATCCGGATTCCCACTCACACACTTTTGAGGATTCCAGATTCAAAGCTTGCAAGCGGAGTAGCTTTTTTGAACTACTGTACTGCCATTGGTTTGGGACGATTCTTCCTCTCGTTTGGTAGTAACCTGTTAGCTAAGGGGGGTGGGGAGTGTGCAGCCCAATCTTTGAGCATTTGAGAAGAAGTTCCCTTGTATTTGGTGGTACTTTTCCCAAGTACAGTAAATACACATAGACTTGCAGAGAAAGTCTCATAGAATTCCGTGGAACTTTCTTCCAGATGCATAAGGGAGGTTGGCTAGTGCTCACCAGTTGGAAACCGAGGATCTAAGCAGAGCTCAGCATAAGATTGGTATTGATAAACTGAATCCGGACTAGTAGACGAATCAAGGAACTCGGAACGTATATCTTTTTCTGCACAAAAAAACCTAAACCTTTTCTGGACCCACTGCTGGAGTGACTTTGACTTGGGTGTGGGCTCATTGTCCAGGAAAAGGGGTGACGATTGTCCCAAGATTACCTAGGTTGTGACCAGTGAGCGTTTGAGTCGAGGCCTGTCTTGAACAGGTTCTCTCTCTGTGCAAACCAGTTCCCAAACTATAAAGGGTCGCATGCCCTAAGGCTGCTGTAGTGGAGGAGAACGTTAAACATACCAGAGCGTCCTGACAGGATTGTATTTAACCGTAGGAATAACAATAGGAACAAGCCATTACCGACGCAGCAGAACACCCTCGACACGGCTCTTGTCTGCACACTTACTTACCAAGGAAGGGTCAAGCCATTGAACTCAGTGGGGCTTACTTTTGAGTAAAGCTGCACAGGATCGCCCTGACCCATTGAGCATTGCATGGTTGCATTGCAACTGAGCTGGTGTGTGCCATCCCAGGCCAAGGCAAACTCGGAGCTAGTAAACAACGACGCTATCACCAATAAGTTTTTAAGCCACCTTTGCTCGCCTCCCAGTTATGTGCATCACAAATCCAAAATGGGGTCCATTCCACCCATGCACGGCGCATAAAAGTCAGCGATTCTCAGCCTAAGGCCTAGTTCCCCTTTCCTTTCATTTTCTCAGTGGCTTTTCAGAACACACACATACAAAACAATCCTCTCCCGGGTTTAGTAGTGGAACTAACACTTTGGAGAAAAAGGCTTCTGAATGGCCTTTGGCGGCACATACTTTGTTAAGTGCTTTCCCGAGGAATCCCCTCCCCTTTTCCAAAGCTAATACCTTGACTGAGTTAAAAAAAAACACAAAAAACCACCAGTTGCCACCAGGAAAGAATCCTGCGCATTGTTGTAGCAAAGAAGACAGTTGCACTGTGGCGGGGGGGGGGGGACGGCGGCGAGGGGTTTGTTCAGAGTCTCTGACCCTTTCAACCCCTCCATGCGGCGTCATAACAATCACAATGTCTTGGCACCTTAATCTTCGGCCTCTTTTTCCGCGCAGTTTGAACAGCACCGCCACACCCGCGCAGGTGGCGCGGCGCAGGGCGCACACGCGCAATCGTTGCCATTTACCAAACGTAAGGGCTTTTTTGCCGCTCAGCGGACACACCCTGCAAACAGGTAAGGTGGGCCAGCTAACCCAGAAAAGATAAAAGAGAGGGGGTTGGGTTGTTGTTATTGTTGTTTTAAATCTCCGGAGATTAGCAACAAAAGGAAATCAAACAGAGGAGGAGGAGGAGGAGGAGGAGGAGAAGGAGAAGGAGAAGGAGAAGAAGAAGAAGAAGAAGAAGAAGAAGACACTACGGTAGCGAAGAGGAGGAGGAGGGGAGTGTCAGCTCACAAAAATCACCTTTCACTGACAGTTGCTTTTTTTTTTTAAGGGGAGGAAGGGCAAACACTTAAGTAAAAACAACAGCCCACCTGCAGATTTTTTTAAAAAGAATTTACGTCCCGCTGAGCTGACTTTTGAAGAAAATTGTATTGCTATTAATTAATAGTAGTAGTACTGCATAGGAAACCGCTCAAATATTGAGCGAAGCCGTTGGTTCATCTGGGATAGCTCACTCGGTAGAGCATGAGACTCTTAGTCTCAGGGTCCTGCGTTGGAGCCCCACGTTGGGCATAAAATTCCTGTATTGCAAGGGGTTGGACTAGATGACCCTTGGGGTACCTTCCATCTCTACAAATCAGGCTCTGTATTGTCTACTCACTGACTGCGACCTTCCGGCAGGGATCTTTTCCAGCAGTGGCCACCTGGGAGAGTCTTAAGAGGAGGCGTCAGGGGTCAAATCCTGAGCTTCATACAAACAAAGAACGTGCTCCACCACCAGGCGGTCGCAGCTCCCCTTAATCTACACGCGTCGGGGCTTTTAGATGGGAATGGGTGGGAGAAGGAAAAATAGGAAGGTCCCTGCCCCGAGTAGCTTATAATCGCCGAGGCTGTTCCAGCCGGAGTTAATGTAGTCGGAGGTGCAAAAAAATGTGGGCGAGAACTGTTGGCTAGGAATGGGAAACGGAGTTTCAAATCTACTCTGCCCTTGCGGGCAAATGCTTGACTTTAAACCACTTCGGTCCGCAGAAACGGCCCCGACTCCGCAGTTTTCGCCCCGCCCCCACCCGTTTTGTTGGTGTTAATTGGTTTTTTTCCCCCAAGTGGAAAAACGAGCAATAAATGTTGTGAAATGAAATAAAATAAAATCACTCTCCGAGTTACTTCGACGTTAGTGGGCTTGCCATTCTGCCGGCAGGACCTTTTCAGACGACAAAGGTCAAATAAGGGCCGATCCAGAGGTGGGTTTGTTGTTGTTCAACCCTTTCCAAAGGCAAAGTTTGAAGAAGGGGAGAAGAGAGAGAAGGAAGTTGGGCGGAGAAAAGAGGAGTGGGAAGGCTGGGGGGGGGGATGACACGCATCTGTCCAGGAGTGCCAACTTGAATAGCATATTGGGGGGCAGGTAAGCAATGCCCATCAACTCTGGGAGGCCGCCTTCTGAAATATTTTACTGGGGGGCCAAAGGGACCTCGGCCCCTAGGAGATGGCTTTATCCTATGCATTGTCTGCTCTGTCCCCCTGAAAAGCTGCTGCAACATCTGGACGAAGCTACCCCAGCGAGTGTTCAACTGCATCCGAGTCAACTCCAAGGAGGGAAAAAAAGAAGGGGGGGGGAGAGGCAGGAGGCGGGGAAAGCCGATTCAAGGCGCAGAAGCCAAGCCGAGAATCAACCGCGACTTTGTGACTTTAATTAAAGCGACTCTGCGGGGGAGGCGGAGGCGGAGGCGGGGGAGGAAGCCCGGCCATTCGCGCCCCTTTCAGCGGAGGAACATTTCCGCTAAGGGGAAACTCGCGGGTTGACTGGAGGGAAGGGAAGAAGGGGCAGCATTTTGCGCCCGGATTTCAGAAACCAGATCGAGGAGGGAGGGGCGCGGGGGGGGGGGAAAGGAAATTCCTTCGCGATTAACATTCTCTCTCTCTTTCTTCCTCTCTCTTCTCCGCTCCCCCACCCCCCATGGCTTGCACTTCGGTCGCCTCTTTGAACGAGAGTGGCCTTAAAACTCCCTGGGTTGCACCAGAAAAGACATGACATCCAGCCTGGCTGAAAACCAGCCGAAGGAACAAACGCTCCGGGGGGGATTTTCTTTCTGAGCCAATAGGATCGCCCATTTAGGACTAGGTTTGGGTTTTTTTCCGCTGTAAGAAGTAGGCCGGCAAACGCACACAAGAACAACCAGAGTATGAACACCTCCTACCATAGCTGCCAACTTTTCCCTTTTCTTGCGAGGAATCCTATTCGGAATAAGGGAATTTCCCTTAAAAAGGGGGAAACGTTGACAGCTATGCCCCCTACTTTCCCCCCTTCCTCTAGGAATTAGGGGTGTTCCCATCCACTTGGGTGCCAAAAGTTGGGGAGGCCCCTGTCAAGGGCAACCCAGTCAGATGGGCGCGGTACAAATTAATAATAATAATAATAATAATAATAATAATAATAATAATAATAGTTGTTATTAATACTGACGGGCGCCCCTTTTGCAGAGTGGAAATGTTCTCCCTCTGGAACGCCCGCAGCTGTCAGTACTTGCTGAAGGAAGCACTCCTCACATGCCCAGAGGCACTCTGTTGTTAATGGAATCGTGTTAACTTAAATCAATTGATTCGTAGTGTGCTGCCTTCAGCCTTGCTTTGCCAAACAGTTTCTTTGTTTCCTTGCGCCGCGAAAGGCTCCTGTGCGTTTGTGCCTCGGTTTGAGGCTCTGGCTTATACCTCAGTCCGTGCCGGACAAGTTTGTGAACAGAGATGGTCCCTCATTCTCTTGTGGAATGACCCGCGACAAGGTGTAGGGGTGACCTTTAGCTTAGCTGGCTTAACAAGCCAGCGAATGAAACCAATGAATGGAGCATCATTTCTGAAACGCTCTGGAGCCGCACGAGGTCTTCCTGTTGACGTCTGAACACCCCCAGGGCCCGAAGTCACCTTCCTGCCCGGCTGGTGAACTGGAAACCGAAGGATGCTGCGCTAGACGGACCTTAGTCGGATCCAGCAGGGCAATTCCAATGCTTCATTTGCCACGTCTTCAAGGTGCCACGAGATGTCTTCATTGTTCCTGCTTCTTCTTGCGCAGTGGCATTTCAAAAACAGGTCCTGGAGCTGACTGCAGGGTCTTGCTATTTCCTCGTCGCACCCCCCCCCCCCGCATCTCCATCGGGCAGAGAAGACTGTTCAGAAACCTTCCCCACCATCACACACAGACACCCCCTTCAGAAAAGAGAGAATGATGGCGAAAACCCACTTTCCAGCAAGGTTTTTTTGGGGGGGGGTGTTGTTGTTTTTCTGTAAACACAAAAATGCTAAACATCAGGGTGAGCCCATGCTCTTCTTTGCCACCACTGGTCGCCCTCCTGGGAAAAATCAAGGGCAGCTGAACAACTTCCGGGGGCTTCCTCCTCCTCGGTAGGGTCTATCCGAGGTCAAGGTCACTCTCTTCTGAAGAAGAGAAGGGACTCCACAGCGGGAAGGACAATAGCCAGCTCTTTAGAGATCTTCCCTCCGGAAAGAAACCTGTTTGAACAGGCACAAAAGAAGTGTTTCAAGTCAGGTGTAAAGCGCCACAGTCCCCCTCCTGCCCCCAGCACCCAAAAGATGGAAGAAATACTGTCTGCTAGGACAATTCCCCTCTGAGCAGATTCATTGAGTATCAAAGGAGTACCCATTCTCACCTTGCTGCTGCTACTAAGCTGAAGCATGTTGCTGCTATCTATTACTATGACCATGCCTACTACTAACCTGAAGTATGCTTCTGCTATTACTACTAATAATCTGAAGCATGCAGCTGCTGCTACTATCACTACTACTGCTACTAACCTGAAGCATTTTGGTCCTGTTTATTTAAACGGGCAAGTTAACCATGCGTTTTATTTAATGACTGGAATTAGGGGGCTCCAATAACCTTTAACCTTGTCTGGATCGTGCCTTTGACATTTGTTTTATAACTCAAGTGTTGAAAGCATTACACATATATTATTACCCTGATTTACCGTTAAAGGTAGGCGAGTAGTATCATTTGCCTAGCATATATTCGAATTAAGATATCTATTAATGGACCAAGTGAAGGACTGAAGGATTTATATACACACGCAAGCATTCTTTCTACCAGCAGGGCTGTCACAAAAGCAATAATAAATAAAATAACGATCATTTGGTCGATGGGCGTTGCTTTTCAAATAAATACATCCCGAAGTCTGCTCAGATTCATTCTGGGTTGGTGTCACCGAAGTCTAGGAATAGTGTGATGTGAGCTTATTTTTAATCATCTTAAAACCAGACTCTAATCACATTGACAGTAAAATGGGACTAAAACAGGTAATGTATTTAGGATCGAGTTGTTAGGACTGCAGTTCTAAAAATATTAGGGTGAATATATTCCACTGAACATACTAAGATTTCCTTACAAAGCCCGAATTAGAAGCGTATTTATTGGGTATTTTTCTGTTTAATTGGAAATCATTCCCATTTCTTTCTAGACGTATTTACTTCCAAGTAAGTGGCTTGAGGCAGGATTTCTGTTTCTATTTCCAGAGAAGAAACTCCACTGTGCTCAATGGTACTTACTTTTGAGTAGATAGGATTGCACAACAGTCTGATCCTATCTTTGCATGTTCAGCCCCACTTGGATCAATGGAGTTTATGTCCAAATACTTTTGGATAGGATTTCAGCCCAAGGCTTACGTATGGAACAAAATACGTTGGAGGAAACTTGCTGAAAATATGTTTAGGACTAGGGTGCCAAGGGCAATCGACAAATCGAACAAAAAAAAGCACCCGCCCCACAAAAAGGTACTGGGATTAAGACATTTAAAATCCTATTCCAAATACTTTTCCTTGGTTGGTTTTAATGGCATTTTCTTCCATTGTTTGCTGAAAGAATACGCCTCATTGTACTCAGTACTGTACTGATGTCAGTGGACTAACGTTAGAGACGCCGGATCAAAGCTGCACTAAGCCACGAATTTCAGGAGATAACGCTCAGCCTAACCCACCTCACAGGATTGTTGTGAAGATGATAAAAATCTAATCATAATCATAAGTAAAGATTCCCCTACATGAACAGGACTTACTTCCAGGAAAACACGTCGAAGCTCAATCTGTTAATCGCTTTAAAACCCAGAGTGATCCTAACCGTGTTTACTCAGAAGTAAATCCCGCTAAATTCCACGGGGCTTAAATCCAGGGCTCAGTCTGCTCTGAAGATCGAAGACTTTAACTAAACAATTTCTTAAATCCATCACTTTGAAGAAAAAACACACTTATGGCAAGGGAATTCGCATCCGGAGGAAAAGGTCTGCTTAAAATAATTTAAAAACCAGACCAATGCCTTTCAGAGCAGATTTACCGATGCGTTAGTACGAACTTTACATAGAATTGAACGGAACGGTTCAGGGGGGCATTTTAAAATTGCAGTATGGCTTGGCTGTTTGAACGCATACTTACCTCGAAAGTCTACACTCGACGGGGCGTGTCGGTAACTTTCGGGCAAGATTGCGATCCTAAACACACGCGCACACTCTCTCCCCCCCCCCCGCAATTCACACGGATATTTTGGATCTGGTGTGCCTAAAAAAAAAGGACTGCTTTCTTCCTGTTTCTGTCTTTCTTTTTAAAAGAGTAAATCCTATCGAAAATGGATGCGATTGCTGGTCGGGTTTCGCCGTGTTTACTCGGAAGTAAGCTCCTAAACTGGACATACTTAAGTACGAGTCGAATTGCAGTTAAAGCCAACTTTAGGAATTTAAGCTGCAGACTCTTACTCCTGACCCTTTTACTCTGGTGCATTTGAAAAATCGCATCATGTCGGCTATCCATTATTTTAAATTAAATGAATTTCGTTTCCCGCGAATCCACTTCCGCCGTCGCCCCCGTCACCCTTTTCGGTTTCACAACTATTTGCAAATGTGCAGAGGATTATTCCACTAAAACAGATTAAGTGGGTTGCCGTTTTGCTACAGAACTAATATTTTGAAGCGAGTTGTTTTTTTTAAAAAAGAAATTCATTGTGGTGGCAAATAAAAGGGAAAGACAAGACTGTATGGAGATGCCTGCCGGGTCACTCTCTAATCTCAGCTCCTGCTTTACTCATAAGTAAATCCGCTAGATTGTTCTATGGGATTTACTTAAGAAAGGCACCCTTAAAACTTCCCTCATGTCACAGCCATGGGCACACAATCCCCAACCTGAATCTTACTTTGTTGTTTTTTTAAGCCCCGTTTGCTCGGAAGTGAGCCCTACGGAGTCCAAAGAAACTTACACTCGAGTAAAAAAAAAAAGTTTAGGATCAGGCTGCGCGCGGTTATTTGATCCATCTGCGTTCTGTTGAAAGTAACACCTGACATTTTAGCACGCTCCTTTGGGAATCAATCTCATTGGAATCACTAGGACTGACTCCCGAGTAAACACTGTTGAGTGCTCAGACCCTCGATACAGTGCTTAGGAATCTCCTGGGTCGCGTTGCAATGTGCAGAAACCACCTGGATGTTCTCTTGCGCAAACCCACTGGAATGAATAGAGAGTAATATTGGGTGGCAGCTTGTATACAGTGCGGGTAGATTTGCCCAGTATTTTTATTAGGGGAAATCTGGTGAGAAGTGGCACAGGAGGGCAGTCTAAATAGGCTTATTCAAAGTACTTAAATCGAAGTGGATTGAAGCTTTGGGCAGCAGGATGAACGCACTTTGTAGAAGAAAGTGGGGAGAGTTAAAGTAAAAAACAACAACACCTTTCTTCTTTTTAAATGCACTTTATTTATGTTTATGGTAAATATGGTTTATGGTTCAAAGAGCTTCGGGCACATTCGCAAGAATCATCGCTAAAGCTGTTAAGTCTGGGCAAGTGTACTTGGAAGTAAACCCATTGAACTGTGGAGGCTTACTTCCTTGGAAAGCTTCGTAGGCTCAGTAGTGGCTAGCGAAACCTAGTCAGATGGGCGTGGTGTAAATAATAAAAATTATTATTATTCCTATTATTAGCTGCGCGAATCTTTCTCCCACCGCGTCCCGATCCATTTCACGTTTCTGCGGGAAAAAGCCCAGTTGCTCTCAGTGGGATTTCTTAGGGTTTGGAGCGTTGGTTAGAAATGTTCTTCCGTTCCCAATCTCCTTCAATTTTGCTGCTCCTACTTCTGTTTTTTCTTCTTTGAAGTGTTTTAAGCACCATGATTTTATACTATAAACAGGCTCAGAGGAAAAAATAAATCCATTCTTGGACCGGACTTGTGGATTTGCCAGGAAAGACATGCAACTCGCTCGAGCCTGCGCCGTGTTAACTTCTTCAAGTGCCCAAAGGAGAAGAAGCGTCCCTACAGACGGTCAAGGCAGCGACTTGACTGCGTAAAGGGAGCAAGGAGGAAGGGAGGCAGGCCCCAAGGAAGCTCGTCTTAGCTCGGCCCCTTTGCGCGGAAGGATTTGGTGACTGGCCAGACCTCAGCGGAGGCTAGCTAGACGCGAACCCCAGGCAGCAGGAGGAAAGTGGGCGAAAAGAAATAGGACCGGAGAGTGAAAGAAAGTTCATTTTCAACAGCAGAAACCTAAAATGCGTTGCAATTGAACTCCCTAACTCTCTGAAGCCGAGGAGCTCAGATTTCACCATTTTCTGTTTTCCAGCTCTGTGCTCTGACAAGGTGGATTACAAAAATGGGTTTGGAAAGGCAGGATCTGAACCTTATTTCTGGCAAACATTTTTCTACGCCCATATCCTGGATTACCTGGCTAATGCTCTGGATTATTATTATTAAATTAGTTTCCAGGATGGGTAAACAGCAAGAGAGGATCAATTGGGGGGGGGGGAGAGAATTCCATAGTTTTGGGACCCCCCATGAGAAAGGGCCTGTCCCATGGAAGTGAAAATGCAAAGTTTAATTTCTGCCATTACTTATTCTCTTCATTTAATTTTTATTTATTTATTTAAAATTATTTTAGGCTGCTTTCCATTTAAAATCTCAAAGGTGGCTTACAACAAAAAATATAACATCAATAAAACAAAACAATTAAAACATCATCAGTATAACAGTGAGGGCAATTAAAACTGTCACCAGTGATTAGGAAATGTTTGGGCAAAAAGGTGGCGTAGAAATAAATACATAATAATAATGATGTGTTTTTAAAAGGCACCCCACCAAAACAATCATTGGTGCTTGTTGTGTTGCACTGGGGAATTTCGTACGAAGGTACCACAGAGGCCCATCTCCATGTTACCTTTAGACAGTGCAACTTTTCTAGAAAAATAGGTGCCAGAACTCACCATGAACACCTCTCTCATTCTCTTAAGAGTTCCAGCGAGTTCTGACTGAAAAAAAGTCCTAGCTTTAGATAATATAACTGGGTAATGAACTTGTAGTTCTAATATATAGGGAGGGGAGTTTCAGAAAAAGCATGCAATTCTTCTTCACCCTGCCTGTGAAAGTTATCAATTTTGCTTCACTAGATGCCCAAGCTCAAACACCTGTTGAGCTGAATGACTAGCAGTAAAGCAGCAAAAGGCATATTAGAGACAGGCACCTTATCCATCTA